GCAGTGTTCCCTTGCGTTCTGATTGAACTCTGAAACTCCTGAAATCCCTCACTCAAGAGTTCTTGCTCTGCTGCCGAAAAATACCGAGCCGAGCGCGCTCCGTCGACATTTTCGCCGACCAATCAGAGGGTTGCCGATCAATGTTTCCACTATCGATGCGTAGCCCCTTTTACGACACCCAGTGATGTCACATTACTGCGTCCAGCTGTACTAATCGTCAGCAGCAGGTGTGTTCGGGGAACCGGATTAGCGCGCTCACGGTTAGCGCGATGGTTTGGTCTTGGATGTTTCATTTGATCTTGGATGTAGTAAGCGACGTACGAAGCACAGGGCCCAGTGCTGTCGCTCTCTATACACAGTTCGCGCGATTGCAAAGTGAAAGCAAAAAAACAAGTGCAAATTCAAACGCGATTTCAATATGTCACATATTGACAGTGGCTCACCGATGCCAATGACATAATTACCCAGCTACATTTCTGAAAGAATGCAAAAGCATTGACATAAATTTTTTCTTTCCTACAATAGCCCGACGGGCAGGGCAGAGATAGATTTTGGTAGCCCGACTGAAAAAAATCGCTAGCTCCAGGACGTCGGGCTAGCGATATTGCAAGCCCTGTATCTGATTGAGGAATCACTCATCTTTGGAAAAGAGAGTTTATTACAGAGAAATGTCTCTTTCCAAAATAAAAGCTATACTATCCGCTTCTTCTGGGCTATATTCTCAGCAGCATAAGGAGAATCATGTGCTAACAGCTGTCTAAATGACTCGGCTAAAGTTAGTAGCATGCTTGTTGTTTTGGTCTTTGCACTAGGATGATGTCTGCGTAAATGTGCAGTCATATTCGTTGTGTTCCCACTAGTGCTTTCAGGTTAATCTCGTTGAAATGACCTTAACGCCACAACACGGCAAATCTCCGTTAACGAGCTACCGCCGATCGCCCCGTGTGTGGGGCTAGACGGCCAACACGTTAACGAGCTAACTGCGCTAACACACTAGCTCCCACCCATGTAATTGAGCATTGCATGGCACATCCAACATACTGTTTTACTTTAGTCCATGACTCGCTTACCTTCAGGGTCATACGTCACATGAAAACCAAAATAATTCCAAACGCCAGATCTGAATGAGGGTGGGGGAGGTCCATGTGTCTCGCTAGCTTGCCCTGCGCTCTTCCTTCTGACTATGCTGTCTGTGTTGAGTGCTCAGTGGATCTGCGCTCGACAGTGCAGCCTAGGCGGAGTAGTCGAACGCAGATTCACTGAGCGCTCAACACAGACAGCATCGTCGGAAGGAAAGTTGATAAAATAAATTACAAATGTTGTATTGTTCGATACATATGCGTACCGAACCGAAAGCACTGTATCGAACGGTTCAATATCGATACGAATATCGTTGCACCCCTAATATATATATATATATATATATATATATATATAGATGAACAGGCACATGGGTCAATACATGAGCAGGACACAGAAAGGAATTGGCAAGAATACCAGAGGCGCAAAACACCAGCTACTGGTAGACAGAACAATCAGCCGAGACTGCAAGACCAGACTGACCAACCTGTGCACTGCCTGGATTGATTACAAGAAGGCCTATGACTCAATGCCCCACAGCTGGATACTGGAATGCCTAGAATTGTACAAGATCAATGGGACCCTAAGAGCCTTCATCAGGAACTCAATGGGGATGTGGCGTACAACACTAGAGGCCAACTCCAAGCCCATAGCACAAGTCACCATCAAGTGCGGGATCTACCAAGGAGATGCTCTGTCCCCACTGCTGTTCTGCATAGGCCTGAACCCCCTCAGTGAGATCATTAACAAGACTGGCTACGGATACCGACTACGGAACGGAGCAGTTGTCAGCCACCTCCTGTACATGGATGACATCAAGCTGTATGCCAAGAGTGAACGAGACATCGATTCACTGATCCACACTACCAGGCTATACAGCAATGACATTGGAATGTCGTTCGGACTGGAGAAGTGTAGTCGGATGGTAACAAAGAGAGGGAAGGTAGTCAGAACTGAGGGGATTGAACTACCAGAAGGCAACATTGCAGACATAGAGGACAGTTACAAGTACTTGGGGATCCCACAGGCGAATGGGAACCATGAAGAGGCCGCTAGAAAAGCTGCAACCACCAAGTACCTGCAGAGGGTCAGGCAAGTCCTGAGGAGTCAGCTGAATGGTAAGAACAAGATCCGGGCCATCAACACGTACGCCCTGCCCGTGATCAGGTACCCTGCTGGGGTAATAGGCTGGCCAAAGGAGGAGATAGAAGCCACTGACATAAAGACAAGAAAGCTCCTTACCATGCATGGAGGGTTTCACCCCAAATCCAGCACCCTGAGGCTGTACGCTAAGCGGAAGGAAGGGGGCCGGGGACTGGTGAGTGTCAGCACCACAGTCCAGGATGAGACAACGAACATCCAAGAATACATTAGGAAGATGGCCCCAACTGACCGAGTGCTCAGTGAATACCTCAGGCAGCAGAAACCCAAGAAAGAGGAGGGAGACGAGGAACCATCATGGAAGGACAGGCCCCTGCACGGTATGTACCACCGGCAGATAGAGGAGGTGGCTGATATCCAGAAATCCTACCAGTGGCTGGACAAAGCTGGACTGAAAGACAGCACAGAGGCACTAATCATGGCAGCACAAGAACAAGCTCTGAGCACAAGATCCATAGAGGCTGGGGTCTATCACACCAGGCAAGACCCCAGGTGCAGGCTGTGTAAAGATGCCCCAGAGACAATCCAGCACATAACAGCAGGGTGCAAGATGCTAGCAGGCAAGGCATACATGGAACGCCATAACCAAGTGGCCGGCATAGTGTACAGGAACATCTGTGCGGAGTATAACCTGGAAGTCCCGAGGTCAAAATGGGAGATGCCCCCAAGGGTGGTGGAGAATGACCGAGCTAAGATCCTGTGGGACTTCCAGATACAGACGGACAAAATGGTGGTGGCTAACCAACCGGACATAGTGGTGGTAGACAAACAGAAGAAGATGGCCGTAGTGATCGATGTAGCGGTTCCGAATGACAGCAATATCAGGAAGAAGGAACACGAGAAGCTGGAGAAATACCAAGGGCTCAGAGAAGAGCTCGAGAGGATGTGGAGGGTGAAGGTAACGGTGGTCCCCGTGGTAATCGGAGCACTAGGTGCGGTGACTCCCAAGCTAGGCGAGTGGCTCCAGCAGATCCCGGGAACAACATCGGAGATCTCTGTCCAGAAGAGCGCAGTCCTGGGAACAGCTAAGATACTGCGCAGGACCCTCAAGCTCCCAGGCCTCTGGTAGAGGACCCGAGCTTGAAGGATAAACCGCCCGCAGGGGCGTGCTGGGTGTTTTTTTTTTTTTTTTATATATATATGTCTCTTTTTTGATTAATATAGTTTCACAATGATCATTCTGCTTTTCTCACTTTCAGCAGTTTTAAAAAAAGTCCTTGACATTTCATTTTTGCATCTGAACCCTTTTTATTCTACATTAGTCCCACATTTTTGCAGTACTCTTTCCAAAGCCAGTAATGTTTTTAATAAAACTATAAAACCATTTGGTGTCTAAAGCTTGAAATAATGGTCTTAGTTTTTATTTACTGATCACAGATTTGGATTGATTAACTGCAGGGGTGTGTCTAGGAAGGGACAAGGGGTGGTATCACTTCCCCTTAGAAATATGATTGGTCCCCTCCTCGTGCCTCCCCACCAAAACCGTTGCACTAGAGTACCGTTAATCTTACAATGCCTAACAACACCATTGGATGAAAGCACTGATTGGATGAGTAGGAATGTAGCTGAGTACATTCAATCAAGTACTTGAAGTAGTACTACACTGCTATCTGATTTTTCTCCACTGTATTCTGAATACAATTACTTCATTTTGTACTCTATACTATTTATTTTAAAGCTTTAGTTACTTATTATTTCTGGATTGCATTATTATGGACCAAGTTACTTAGAAACTTGATCCAAATATTTAAGGTCTACAAATACTGCAAATATTTAAGGTCATGAACATTACAGACATATATATATCTCAGCAATTCAATAATTATAACTTACTAATATTGTGTATAGCAGCGGTCCCCAACCCCCGAGTCGTTTGGTACCGGGCTGTGAGAGTTGAGGCTCGGGTGTGAAATTTGTGGTTTTCAGGGTTTTTATTTGTTTTTAGCGTTATTTTTTTTAATTGTTTTTATCGTTAACTCGGTTTCCCTGGGTCTTTTCCCGTGTCTTATGAATAAATCTTCTTTTTTTGGTACCGGTACTGGTCTTATTTTGTTATATTTATCCGCGACACCTTAAAGGCCAGTCCGTGAAAATATTGTCGGACCGACAAAGGCGCAAAAAAGGTTGGTGACCGCTGATGTATAGGATCCTAAAGTTGACTTTCACATGTATACATTTACTTTATGTACTTTAAATATATTTGAATATACAATCTGTGAACTATTAAGCTATTTAAATAGGATTATAACCTTTAAAGAAGTAAATAAATCTATTATTTATAAAACTGTTCATCACAAGGTTATGTTTAAATTCTTTTACAGCTCCACTTTTCACATAATAAATCTGCTATAGGACGCTGGGCTGTGGAAGATCTTGAGAATTTGTGGTTTTTACAGCAGTTATCTACACTTATCAAATATTACTGACCCAACATTTTGGTTTCATGCGCCCTTCCCCCCCTTTCAGCTGTCTTCATGGTCCCCTCCTGTGCCACCCCATTTTGAAAATCCTGAAAACGCCCCTGATTGACTGCCCTTGCATAGTTGCACACATGTGAAAAACCCTTTAACTGGTCCTGCAGTGACATTTGCACCAAAGCAATGGAGAAAACCCGTAATGTATGTGAAAGGGTGCCTCCGCGGGCCACCACTCTGTGCACCACTGCCATCCACCGTGGCTCCATCAGTCTCCGCCTCCTTCTTAGCGCCGCCCTCAAGGAGTGACTTGGTGTTGAAGCACAGAGAGAGAGAGAGAGGGACTCTGCAGACTCACACACACACAAACAGAGACACACACACTCTGAGCTCCTCACACCAGCTGCTGTCTCTTTACTAACGGGACAACTTTAAACCTCCTGGATACCACAGTGGACCCTCTGCTCAGTGTGAACACCCCGGACTGAGGTGAGTGCAAACATCCACACATGTTGCCAGCTCTCTTTCTAATTTCGGGTGTGTTTGCCGTGGACCGCTTGAGACTAAACCAGAAGATGGAAGAAGGGAATTTTTTCCCCCCGTGGAGGAAAAGGGGGCAGTAGACAGGCAGGAGGAGAGGCATGTCCGGCTACTGTTGGAGCACTCCGAGCTAGCGCACTTTACCGCCTTTAGCGGGTCACCAGACGCCTTACTGAGCTGTAATTAAACCGGTGAAAAGCGTCGTTTCCGCTGCTGGCGCCAGTAAACACAACAACACGGGTTGAGCGGCTTTAACATCTCCTCATGGATGTTGGTATAACAGCGCTGCGGTGACACACATGGGTCTTCCCCCTCCTTTAGTCCGGGAGTGCTGGCTGCCTGCTGCTGGGACACCGGGACTGTTTGCAGCGGGCGAAGCTGCAGATGTTTATTTTGCATTTACTTTGTGAGTTTGAGACTCCCACAATCCAGGCTGAAAGGACCGATGTTCAGGCTTTACGTGCCGACGAGCAGAGTCTTCGTCTTAACTTTTATATAGGACATTTTCGTATGTGCACTCATACAGTTTCCGCTTTATTGTTACTGTAGCATGCTCACTTATTCCTCCCCTTTATGTGATTTGAAATGATTAGTCTAATATGTAACCCTTATATGTATGAGTATAATAAAGATGTACTTAAAAATGATCCTAAATGTTATATTAAATGTGCAAACTGCCCCTTTTTGTCCATCACCAGTGCAAAATCCTGCAGAATAACCAGCAAATGCCAAAATCAGCCATTAAAAATACTTTTCATTGCTGATTTGTTTGATAATCACTTTATCCATTAAAGGATTTGGTCAAATATATTCAACCAGGGTTTAAGCATTAGCTTATACTCCCCTAAATACTGCCTTTATCATGTCATAATACACCCGCCCACACCCCCAAATCCCTAAATTCATCCAACAGTCCAACAGTCTAAAGAGATTCACTTCACAATGACCTCAGACAGAAAAGAGCTTGAAATTCTCATGTAAGCAGCTTTAACTGGCAAATATGTTGGCTTTTTTTTTTTCTAACATAAGTGACTAAAACGTTTGAAAATGGCTGCTATTTTTATTTCATGACCACAACCCGTTCTGTGCTGGCTACAATGCACATCAGGCCACATTAAACATCTGTTTGACCCTCCCAGTGCTGTGATGACATCAGTAGTGTCCTAATGTGCTGCTTCCAGAGATGTGCACCAAACATCATCAGCAGCATTCATCTCGTTTTGTGCCAGGTGTACCCGTTGCTAAGACAGGTGGGCTTCTTGCCTGGCTGTGTTACCTTTAAATCTTTGATGTGTGGAGACATCCCGAACGCTTTCCGCCTGCTGTTCCTCTCAGCATCTGCACTGGCTGTTGGCTTATGTTGGGGAGTGACGGTTCACTCTGCTGTACATGCATGCGACAACACAAGAGCGACGAAGCGTGTCTGTACACGCGAAACATCAATACCCAAATCTTGGACTCCTGCAGGTGTGCATCACAAACAGGAGTCCGGATTGTGCTGCTGCTAAATATACTGTGCAAGTTGGTGCTTAACTAGATAACCACTGACTACCAGAGGTCAACTGTACCAGCTGAGCTCACTCTGCGATGCAGATAGAAATATAATAAACTTGAGGGTGCAACCCTTGTGTGACAGGTAGCAGGGAGGCCCCAGGAGGGATCAGAAATAAAGAGCAGTTAGACGGCATTCCTCTGCAAAGTTTTGTTGCTGGATTCGAAAGGATATCTGGATCCAGATTAGTTTGCAAAATTTTCATGAAGAAAAAAGTTTGTATTTGTGAATATATGAGGCGACTCCAAAAGTTTATCACTTCTAAATTGGGGGCAAGCTGTGCCTTTTAATGCAAATTTGGCCACACTGTTTTGAGTAATAATGCCGATAATCAATCGAACAGATAAATTCAACCCCCAGCTGTTGTTATTTCAGGTAACAGCGACTGTCATCCCATCAGCTGCTGATTAATAGATCACACATTAACAAGGTCAAAGGTTAAACTGGTTGAACTTTAAGCGAAGCGCTAAGATGTAAAGTCTATATCTTTGAAACATGTAAGATGTGGCTGTGAACTGATTTTAGTGTAAAAGTTAAACTTTAGCTGTGAAAAACAAGCAACTGACAACTATTAGGGATAAAATAAACTGGAAAATACAGTGAAATCCCCAGAAAATGTTGAAGCCTTGTAAATGTACTGTAACTGCAAACTGCCTCTATGTTGGATTAGATCGAAATCGAAACTGTGCTGATAATGAATTTCTCTCTGTAAAGTTATGCGCGGTAACAGATGCCACATTCAAGCGTAATATTGTGACGTCTGCCTGCCGTTATTGTTTAGCTCACACACAAACCCACACAGGCACATTAACATGGCACTTGTCCACATTACCAACAGCAGTTATACAGAGTAATGGCAAAATTATATTCCTGTGAGTGTCTGAGTGAGTCGTCTCTGATCTCTAAGGAGCCCCATTGCTATGCTTCACTACTCCCTCCTCACTGAAGAGCTGCCTCCATATATTCTCTGCAGCTTTGTGCCCTAACTGATGTTTAATTATTCCAACACGGTGATTTGACTGTTGCTCATAAAATATTGAAACAGAAACAGCCCTGGAGGGATGCTGAAACACTGGCCTCGCTTGATACTTAAATAGGGCCTGCAGTGAAACGGGGCATCAAAGCGGGTCAGCAGAAGCGTGAAATAAAACTTGTGTTTCTTTGTATAAATTGGAAATCTGTTTCTCAGCTGCTTGCTGCTAAACAGGTCTTATCTGAGCTGCACCCCAAACCAGTGCGCTTTCTTACTATGGATAAGCGATTATAGTAGATCAGCGCTCTGATTACAGCTAGGAGCAGGCACTGACTGCTAATCTGTGGTCTTAATACTAAGACAGGCAAATCGCAGGGCAGCTATCAAGCCTACTTAGAGGTTGTTGATTTTTGTTGCTGTCTTCAGGTTGACTTGAAAGTGGGCTTGAGTGTGAATGCTTTTATTTTGCGGTTGGGTATAAATCACCAGGGAAGGAATGCTGGTCAGGTAAATTTGCTTTAAGTGCACTTTCAGACCTCTAATTTGTTTGCTCTGCTCTAAATCTGTAGGTGATTTTGTAAACTTTGCTATGGTTTCTTGTAAGGCAGGGAAAATCCAACAAGCCAAAATATACCAATGCAAACACTATGCTCACTGGTCAGAAGAGCAGAGTAAGATGTGAAGCAGAAGGTCCCGCGTTCATAGTGAGACCTCGGTTTATTATCTGCTTTGAGCTTACACATGACCTATTTTGATTGATCATGCAAGAATAAAAAATGCCCGTCACAATTTTCCAAATTCTGACATAATGTAGTAAAATGTTTGGTTTCGTCCAACCAACAGGCCAGAATTCAGATTCTTATTTTCCAATCTAAGAAAACAGGCAATCATTCAAACAGGTTGGCTTTAAAAAAACTGCATGATTGCTAATTGTGTTCAGTATGATTTAATAATCCTTCATCTGTCTTTCATCATCACACATTTTCACTTGTGTGGCATTTCTGCATGTATTCATCTAATTTATACTCTCCTCTGGACCGTCTGTGAAGTGGTGGGCTTCAGCTGAGTAAATACTTAAGTGATCAGTGGGAGTAATGGCGGATCCCCTGCTGACTGATGCTAGGATATCTTAACCCCCCCAGCCCCCCATGCGACCCCTCACTGAGAGGATAAAACCACAAACATCAGTGCTTTGCAGAGATGTGCGTTAGCTTCTTTAGCACCACGCAGCCCTAATCAGTCTGCTCGGTGGGTGGAGGTTTAGCTGCAGAGCATTTAATCTGCAAATGGTCACTGTCCACTTAAAAACCAGCAACTCCAATGTGATTTTTTTTTTTTAAAGATGCCACCTGAATTGAACCTGCTTTTTCATTTCATTTTGGAAACGATAAAGTCGACAGTTCAGGTGCAGAGAGCTGCGATGTGCCTCTAAGCTGCTGATCAATAAGACAGTTGCACACCGCTTAATGTCCCAGCATGGGGACAGCGGTGTAAATGGATTTGTATTTATACACCACTTTTCCATCTTTACTGAGAACTCAAATGGCAGTTGTACTGCCACCTTCTCGCTGCATTTAGCAACTTTTTTTTCTTCTTCTCTCGCTCTCTCTCTCAGAAAAAGCTTCAAAGAAACATGTACTCCTTTGTACTGACATTACCTTTTTTTTTTTTCTTTTCTCTTCTCAACGAGGTCTTGCTCTCCCGGCGCAGGTACAGCTCTCCCTCTGACTCTGCTCTTTCCAGCAAGTGAGCGAACAGCGAGCTTTTACCTCTGACAGAGTGCACAGCTGAATGGAAGAGAAAGTATGACACATTCTTTGGTGTCTAAGTTTCTCTCTCAGTTAACATTGTACGTCTGCAGCCATGGTCGTTAACTTGTTTTGTTGTGTAAGGTGATTTTGAGTCCCCGGCACTTGCACGAAGCTTCAAATATCCACTACTGAAAGTCCAAAGGCCGGCAAAATGGCTTTCGGGACAGTGCTGCTCCCGCATAGTGAGCTTTTGAAAAGGCCATAATTGTGTTTCTAGTGACTGTCAAAGCTCAACCAGAGTCCCCTCACAGCGAGTCTGACAGCTTCTCATGGCTGGTTAGCTCTGACTAGCAGCTCTACGTCTCTGCCCAGGCTACATTGTATCCCCTGACCCTCCCTCTGTCACACACTAACCACAGGGCCTCATCTCCTACACTTGTTGGTCTCGCTCCCCTGCTGTATTTTCTGAATATCATGGAGGGGGACCTGCATGACTTTGAAGAGGTAGATGCCCTTAACACTCGTCATTGATGTTCTTATAGCAGAGCTAAAGGTTCTATTTTGACTTTTCTGCTGTTGCCGTTAAAGCAAAAACAACACATCTTTATAGGTTTTCATGCTTATAGAGTGTCTGTAAGGATTTAGGGTTTTGGCTTTTTTTTTTTATAACCCC